GCATTGATGGTCCATATTTGATGATTGGAGAATGAGTTAATTTGTTGTCATCTTTCCCAAGTGACTTGTTGATGGAGTGGTTCTTCAAAATATATTTGTCATCTGCTTTTTGTAGAAGAACTATAAACTCATCTAGAAGAAGTACATGAAGATCTATATTCTTCTGACCCTTGGCAATTCTCCAGGTCAAAGGACCTTCGTAAATGAGCTTGTGTTTAGTTAGGTCCAGATTCTGGTGAGGAAAAAGAAAATTGGAAGACACTTTTAATTAAGAAGGATTTGGATTATAAAGATGCTACACAAGCTACTTTTAACACTATTTAAAGGACAATACTGACACCCTCTTTGCCTTGTACAAATGAACTGTAGGTGAGGATTGTTATCTAAATGGTGGGTGTGTCCCCATCATTAGATAAGACCCAATTCCATACTCCCTTCCTGGAATAAATCTACATGCACTGAAAGTTATGAAACCTTTTTATCAATTTCTTATATAGTATCTTTGGATGACTTCTTTAGTACAAATTAAAATACTTTCAATATGGACAATGATCATTCTTCACTGTTTCCCCGTACTGAATCTTTCAGATAAACTATTTGAGCATTTTTTCTTTATGCTTTGCTTCAGTGACAACAGTTTCTCTAAGTTATCCCTTCACCAATTACATAACTTCTCACATAAGCTTTTCTCTTTCTCTTTAGACTGATGTAGAGATGCATCTTTCATCAGGATTTACAACTCGTACTCATCTCATATTGCATTCATAATAATCAGACAACAAATTCATCCAAAAGAAATTAATCTAAGATATCATAACCCACTCACTGCATGAAAAAAATGCATCAAAACTGCATGAAAAATAATGTAGTTAAACACAAAAACTAAATGTTCTTATTATCTGCAGTATCAACAAAATCAAATATATGTCTTGTTGTCATGTACAGTAAAAATATCTTTTAAGCTATAATAAAGGATGGTTAATATTCATCAAGAAAAAGTTTAACAATAAGGATATTTATAGCTGGGCCATTTACAATAATGTAAAAGGGTAGCTGCCTTGAACTTCCGAAAGAGCAGATTGACTTTCTGTCTCCCTATAATAAGCAAACATTCTATTAATTCTTTTCTTAACACCCATAACCCTGATAAACACAAGCAAAGCAATTAAAGATTAAAATAAAGGATAAGACTGTAGAAACCAGTGATCATTATTGTGAAACAACCAATAGAAAAAATTGATATTTTGAGTAGCTACATACTTTAAATTCTTCTTGTACTTTCAGCACAGGAAATAAACACAACTACATTTTTCAAATGAACAACCAATGCTATATAAAAGGAATAGTGATATTTTTTCTTTCCTTTTCTTATAGCAGCAAGGTGAAAATATGGCCAGTACTCCCAAACTTTACTTCTTTATTTTGTATATAATTCCAAAAAAATGCTTTGGTTTTGTGGTTGTAATAAATATTTAACTCTTTCCTACTCTTAACATTCACATAACCAGATTAACACAGTCAAGGAATGGTATTTCCAAGGGTATACTTGGTGGCTGATATTACAGATACTATTGTCAGTTTGGCCATCACTAGGTTGATGCACACGTGGACTAAAGGTCATAAACAAATCAGTTTATTCAATTTTCAAGATAGGACCATTAATTTTTTTCTTCTTCTTCCAGTAACATTTGCCTCATGTTCCCCAACTTCCAAGATTAAATAAAAGTAGCTCCACATTTATCCTAACAGACAAAACAGACAAAATGTTCATATAAACTATGGCTACACATACCATTATACGATGGCATGGGTTGTATAGTGGGTCTGGGTGTCATTACTGGTATCAGCCCACAACTCAGTATTGACACACCTCTACATAATACCAAGACAAAAAGGCAGCGATGCTAAAACTTACGCCTCTTAACTCATCAGAGTGTCCATGCTTGTTCTTTGCAAGGGAAGATTGGTCAAGTCTCCGTTGTATCTCACTTAGTTTCTGGTTATTTTCTGCTTCCTGAACTGCGGCATTTACATAGGCTAGGATCTCCTTTGATCTTTCCAGAGCGCGAGATATTTGTTCATATTCTTCGGGTTGTTTGTTACTGTCAGTATATGCTAAGAGAGACTCAGTCAATAAAGGGTACTGCAAAAGAAAGAAAAAGAAAGGTATTAATGTCATATTGTTCTTTATCTTTATAAAAGAGGAAAGACATTCTCCAGTATCATATGCCCTCTAAATGAGTGTAAGAAAGAAAGAAAAAAGGAAAAAAAGGAAAGAAAAATATATACATATCACTCCAAAGATACAATCCATTTAACGTAATGTCTTATGCAAAGCTATTGATCATAACTTATATATAACAAAGTTAATATATTGACATGAACCCTATAAATAAAAAACTCTGAATCACTCATGGCCTCCTGGTCCTTAACCAGGAGGCCTGCATTATAGTTCTCTCAATACATTAGGAGGACAAACATGCCAAAATGTGTTTCCCTGGCTGGATATTACACAGGTTTAATTATCCATGTAAACTCTAATACTATAAGTTATGCTGATACCATTTGACAAGTCTTTTCTCTAAGGTACAAATCCATAATATCTCTATGAAAGTTTCTGCATTGTTCTCTAATATATGTGACCCTACAATCCGGATGATGGGCCCATCAATTCATGAAAAATTTTGCTTGAGGGGCGGGCGACACGAACACGCAAACAAAGGGGAAAATTTGGCTGTGGGCTCGGATAACCAGGACTTCCCATTGTGAGCATTTTGGCTGAAGGCCGGGGTGATGGGAAGAACTCACCATGAGTGTACAAAGCGCTTGCAGGGTCATTAGACGCATTTGGCATTTAGGAAGGCATGCTCAGGATCCTATTACTGCCCACCATGACTGGCAGTACAGGTTGTATTACAGAAAATTGAATATTATGAAGAAAAAAAAATAATAATAATAATTAAACAAGTAACAAAATGTTACTAGCTATTAATATTGCACTGAATTACAGACTACCTAGATATATGATCTGGAGTCTATGCAAGGAATACAGCATATTACCACCTGCCAAATGGTAAAAAAGCTAAAACTGTTGCAAAGGGGAGGAAAGGAGTCTGGTCACCGCACACGAATGTTAGTTTGTGCCCGGCCTACAGGCTGCACTCACATAAGCCTGATGCCCATATTTTGGGCCATATTATGGCAGTGAAGAATCCGGATCCAATGGGTTAAGAGAAACTTAAGTTCATAGGTTTTGTTTGCACAGTTATTAGAATATAAGTTTACAAACCTTACATAAAAGCAAAGTTAAAGTCTGTATGAGAAATGTCTTCTACAGTGAAATGTTACAGTACGAAGTTGAAAACATTAAATCTCCCTCAGCCTAATTGATCTTTATGATATACACTGCTTTCACATTCCATTTCTGATCTTTATTTTACCTCACCTTTCATTTCCCAGAAGCCTCAAATAAGAAGAGGTCACCTTTTATAATGTCAAATGCTTATGTCCTCATCTCCACTTACTTCTACAACCAGTAAATTATTTAACTATCTTCTACCTTTCAATTTTTGAAGCAGAAAAAAAAAAAAAAAAAATCCATTGCTTCATCAAACAACCTGAACCAAAAAATGAATGGCTTCCAAGTTCTATTTTTTTTTTTCTTTTTTTTTTATCATATTCTCTTGCCAAAGGTCTGACCAGCGTCCACACTAAAACCCATTTCTCCCTCACAGTTTTTTTACCCCCCTCCCTTTGTATCGCCTGGCTTATCAGTTACCTTTGATAACCTCTGGAAGCCCGCAGGCAGCATATCCTTGAGTTGAAGTCTTCGGCATGCTGGGTTGTTTTCTTGCTCCTGAAGGAATGCTGAGAGTCTCTGGTCTCTCTTCTGCTTCTGTTTAAGGTTCTCTAAAGCTATACCCTGCATCCGAATAAATTCTGCCGCCTGTTGCTGAAAGTGCTCTCCTTGCTCTCCGTCAAACTGCAAGAGGGTAAAGGCACCGATTTAGAAATGAATACATGGTAATAATGAGGAGACAAAGGAAAGGGAAGATGAAAGTGGAGGAGGAAAGCAAGAGATTGAGGAGGAAAAAGAGGAGGAAGAGAAGAAGATGAAAGAAAAGGAGAAGGAGGAAGAGGAGGAAGAGGAGGAAGGGGGGAGGGGAAGGGGGAGGAGGTGGGGGAAGGAGAAGGAGGAGGAGAAGGAGGAGGAGAAGGAGGAGGAGGAGGAGGAGGAGGAGGAGGAGGAGGAGGAGGAGGAGGAGGAGGAGGAGGAGGAGGAGGAGGAGAAAGTGGAGGAGGAAGAGAAAGAGAGTGGAGAAGGAAGAGAAGGAAGAGGAAGAGAAGGAGGATTAGGATTAGGATTAGGAGGATTAGGAGGAGGAGGAGGAGGAGGAGGAGAAAGTGGAGGAGGAAGGGAAGAGAAGGAGGAGAAGGAAGAAAAAGTGGAGAAGGAAGAGAAAATGGAGAAGGAAGAGGAGGAGGAAGAACAGGAGGAGGAAGATGAGGAAGATGAGGAGGAGGAGGAGGAGGAGGAGGAGGAGGAGGAGGAGGAGGAGGAGGAGGAGGAGGTGGAGGAGGTGGAGGTGGAGGAGGTGTACATGGCATGTACGTACATGCCATATCCATTGGCATTGGGTTAATACACTAAAATTACAAGGGATATGGCATGTGTGTCATGTCATGGTACTAATAACAATAATTACAACTGCAATAGCAATGAAAACAAACACAACAATAATAATAATAATGATAATAATAATAACAACAATAATAATAATAATAATAATAATAATAATAATAATAATAATAATAATAACAATAATAATAAAAATAACATTAATTAATTAATCAATTGATGATGATAATGATAACAACAACAACAACAACAATAATAATAAAATTATAATAACAATTATAGTTACAATTATAATTATTATTATATTTATAATCATGATCATATTCATAATTATAATTATAATTATAATTACAATTATATA